GATTTATCCTTGGATGCTCCGCCGCCCTCCCCTTGTGTTTTGGCCTGCCTAATCTCTAGTTTTGCTCTCATTTGGTAGTGTGGCGAGTTGCGATTCATCCTTGGATGCTCCACTGCCCTGCCTTTGTGTTTTGGCCTGCCCAATCTTTCGTTTGGCCTGCCCAATCTTTCGTTTTGCTCTCATTTGGTAGTGTGGTCAGTTGTGATTCATCCTTGGATGCTCCGCTGCCCTCCCCTTGTGTTTTGGCCTGCCCAATCTCTCATTTTCCTCTCATTTGGTAGTGTGGTGAGGTGCAATTCAACCTTGGATGCTCCTCTCCCCTCCCTTTGTGTTTTGGCCTGCCCAATCTCTCATTTTGCTCTCGTTTGGTAGTGTGGTGAGTTGCGATTCACCCTTGGATGTCCCATTGCCCTCCCTTCGTGTTTTGGCCTGCCCAATTTCTCATTTTGCTCTCATTTGGTAGTGTGGTGAGTTGCGATTCATCCTTGGATGCTCCGCTGCCCTCCCCTTGTGTTTTGGCCTGCCCAATCTCTTGTTTTCCTCTCATTTGGTAGTGTGGTGAGTTGCAATTCATCCTTGGATGCTGCGCTGCCCTCCCTTTGTGTTTTGGCCTGCCCAATCTCTCATTTTGCTCTCATTTGGTAGTGTGGTGAGTTGCGATTCAACCTTGGATGCTTCGCTGCCCTCCCTTTGTGTTTTGGCCAGCCCAATCTCTTATTTTGCTCTCATTTGGTAGTGTGGTGAGTTGCGATTCATCCTTGGATGCTCCGCTGCCCTCCCTTTGTGTGTTGGCCTGCCCAATCTCTCATTTTGCTTTCCTTTGGTAGTAGGTTGAGTTGCGATTCACCCTTGAGTGTTGTGATGCTTTCCTTTGCGATTTGGGCTGATCATACTTGTGTTGTTCACTCATGTACTAAGTAGGAGTTCTCCGATTCTTTCTTGAAGTGTTGTGCTGTTCTTCCCTTTTGATTTGGGTTGTTCACACTTGTGCTTTTCACTCATGTAGTAGGTAGTAGTGCTCCGATTCTTCCTTGAGTGTTG